CCACCAATCATTGGTGGGAAACGGAGGAGAGAGGTCTTGGAAGAAAGAATTAGGCGGCGCATCATTTGCGATGGAACCTCCGGCTGGTGCAGGTGAGTCCGTACCAATGGGCCCAAAGACGAGGCCCAGGACGCCACGGAAGGCGACGAATCCACAAGAAGCAGACAAAAGTAGGCTTCGAAGAATCACAACCATTGCAGGGTAGACTGGATAACTCAGTAGACATCGACTATGCTTTATAGCATCGAAACCTTGCAATGGAGGAAATAAACATTCTTCCGAACTGTAGCGTCTGAATCGATGATAAGACACTTCATTTCTGAAAGGAGAGCCTTGACGAAGACCGGTACGGTCAAAGACGAAGTGTTAGTGATCGTTGTGTCGAAGTAGCGCATGCTCAAGCAACCGGCAGTGGCGAAAGATAGCAAAATCGCTCCTATGAGCCGAGACATTACGCCGGATGTGTTCTTGAAACAAGGGATACCGGTAACCTTCCGTGTTGGTACATGAAAAAGAACCGGTAACGATGATGCACAGTGATAGAAGAGAACCGGTTTACGATAACAAAATCTAGATGAGAGGACGGGAAAAAGACCCGGAGGAGCACCATTCAGCACCAGACAGCGAGCACATATGAGATGAATGCATATGGTCTCTTACCTGCTGCTGAAAGACAATGGCAATCCATCTTCGTTGGAGTAAGGTTCACTTGCTGCAGTCAGATGATGAAAAACATAGGCTCTTGGCAAAGTCCTTGCCAACTCGTGAAGACGAAACAGTCAAAGTGTTAACTAAAATTCGGATGCACCGGCTGTCGTCTTGAAGATTGAAAGATTTTCCGCGTTGAGGGCGCACATGAAGTCAAGTTGGAAGGAACTCAAACCCATCATCGTCTGAATTTGATGTCACAGCGCGGGCATCACGTCACAAAATTGAGTAAGGGTATCAGGGTCAGGGAATTCAGAATTTCAACACCACTGCGAGTTTGTTATCATTGAAGAGACACCTCTACATACAGGCATATGGCGACGAACATGGTGAAATCTGTCAAAGTGAACTCCGTTTGAAGCGGAAGGAAGGCTACGCTCCTCGTGATTTTCCATGTTTGGGCTTTCTCCTGCTGCCCAGTCGCCTTCGAACTACTGGGGGGCCATAATACGGTCTATCTATCAGTCTTCTGTGTTGTCTTCTCGCGTTCTCGGCTTTTATAAGCTTGCATGGATTTTCTTTGTCTAGACGTTAAACCTTTAGAGCCCTCATATATCCTCAAGTGGTTCTCGACCAACCACTTCGATCGTTGTGGCGTGGAGGAATGAATCTGTCGATCTTTGCTGTACTTTTACATATTTTTTCAACAGAGCGGTCATGATAACTTACTGACCCACCGTGCGCGTCGTTCTTACAATCGGTATTCCCCAGTGGGAGTAACTCGGCCCGTAAATATAATACTCCGAACACAACCCATGGCCGCCGTCATTTGCGTGAGACAGTTTCATTGCATATGCGTCCCCTATTATTCCCTCAAGCCTGGTTTATTCCCTTCTTGTGTGAATGAAATGAAAAGTTCACGCGGGAAAATGACCTGGATAATTATAGTCTGCCAGAGCGAAGCTCAAGAAAATGAAATCAAGAAGTCGCAAAATCAAAGCAACCGGGGCCTGACCGGTAAATCCATAATGATGCGACTGCAGTGACTCCCTACCGTTCCCGACATGCGAGGCCTTGAGAGCATCGTTAAATGGATATGAGGAGTCCCAGAACCAGTTTCGCCTCTTCCATATGGAATGCGTCATGTGACTCAACCTGAACATCGTGACTGCACGTCGCATCCACATTCGCACCCAAAGTCCACCCAGTGTGTATCTCCTCCTTACAGCTCCACTCTCGATTCCGATAATCTCCGTTTTCAACCATGCAGCCTGTCGCTCAGAGGCATTCCCGGACCATGCGTACCGGGCTTTGTCCAGTGGCGGGCCTTCGGTCCCGGCAGCCATGGAACGAGAGGGTCCCTTGCCAGTAGACCCGGGCTCCAGCTTGAATGTCTCTTTTTGCCGTACATACTAGCATTCACTCGAGCCCTGCTTGTTTCCTCGGTAACAGACTAACGCAAATGTGATGAATTTGCAGAGAGAACCTGGGGTTTGGTGTCTGGAAGAATAGACCATGAGTCTAGCAGAAGACATAGGCTTTGAAGAGTAAAACAATCCGTATGTCTTGCTCAAATGAATTCTGTGTTCGGTGGGAAAAAGCTTCAAGTGGCTTCAAATACATACGTACACATCGCTGCATCCAGAGTTTACATCGGGTTTCAAGATGTTGGCGAGCTAGCTACAGCTACAACTGAGTACATATCAACCATCCACTCCATCCCTCTCGTCCTCCAATACACTTTCCTTCCACAAGACGAAAACCCGATCCTGCTTGTATGCGCTGGAGGATGGCTGCTGAGAGGATCCCTGCCGCCATAGGAGCCCACCCGGCTGCCACACATTTTAACCGGCCACAACCAAAAGGCAACGATTTAATTCCCTCTTGTTCCCGCGTCACTCGACCCGAGTGGAATCGCAAGGGTTCAAATGCGGCTGCATCTGCTCCCCAGATACGCTTGCACTTGAGAACACTTCCTATATCTGCACACTCACGACGAAAGAGTTGGCCGAAAAGCTTCAGGGAGAGTTTGTTGAGATTGAGAGGAAGAAAGGCGGGGAATGGATAGATTGGAGAGGCGCGACTGATACGTTGTGATGGAGGGTGGAGGCGCATCACTTCCATCATGAACCACTCTACTGAAGGCTGGGTACCATCGAAGTGGCGAAACTGGTCTATTGTCGGGGAACTATGGAGTTTTGAGAATAGATTGCTCGCATACGAGGAGTTTTGCGCATAAGCCACGGAAGGAGCGACGACACGCCACATTGTCTCCCAGACCGGAATGAGAAAATCGAGAGGATTTGGATATAGTTTTTCGTCGGGAATGAGGCGGCGTAAATGGTAGTTGAGCCGGGGAAGGAGGTCTGCAGGAATCGGCTCAGCCTGCTTCGAGAGTGACCATAGTGTCGAGATGAGCTTAGAGACGATACGGATGTCCTCTGAGTCAAGTTCTTTCACAGATACATCGACATCTAGTATTGCGACAAGAGCAACGCGCATCGTCACATCTTGAACAAACACGTCGAAATCCTTTTCAGCGGCATGAGGTAGCGTTTCCTCTATGGAGTCGACGACAATGTTCTGGAAGTGGGTCCATCCACGCTCGTTCGCGGCTTTAACGAGAGACATAGAGCGAGCGACGAAGGCTGTATGAACACCAATGTCACAAGAGACAAAAGTGTTTGTCAAAGCAAAGGCTTTGATTAATCTTTCATTTGAGATAGAGCGAGAGGTAAGAAGATCATGGCTATTTGTGTTTGGAGGATTCAATAAATGGTTTATTGCTGGAATCGTTTGATGGATTGAAGGCCTCTTAAGATGGCGAGACACCAGGCGGTGTGTTATAAAAAATAGGAGAATAGTGAAGAGAGCTAAGGATGCCCATGTGGGACTTTTTTCCCCTCCTTCGTGAGAGATTGGAAAAGGTACAAAGGTGACGACAGACCTTGCGGACGTGTAGGTACCGTTCGGTCCATCGACGAGGCCAAAAACGCAACGTAAAGTGACACAGCTCTGGAACCAGACCATCGCAGAGTAGTCTTCATAGCCAACGAGAGTCTTTAAATGCCTGAAGAACTATACAGCAGCAGAGAGAAAGAATCATTATTCCCCAAGAGTGGTGCCAGTAACGACCGGATGCATCTCTGGAACAAGAACGTAGAGTGGAGATGACGAAGTGGGTTGTTAGAAGGAAGATCTCTCGTCGGCAGCATATATGGTATAGTAAACGAGTATGACCATCGGTCATCGAGTTCAACAATTACTTCATTTCTGTTTGATGAGAGAGGATGACACTTTCCCGGAACATATGTTTTCCTTGAAGTTGAGGAATGTCAATAACCTTTCGGGTTGACAAGTAAGACTGTAATATGACACGTAGAACAGTTGAGTTGGACTAAAGGTCCGATGGGAGCCTTATTCAGTGCAAGATGAATTACGAATGGTCTGACCACTCAGCCATCTCTGGAACGCCTTGCTAACACCAATCATACGTTTCTTCCGTCAGATTGAACAGAGGTCTCGTCGCATACTTGTAGAGTCCTCAATTCAAGAGGAAGGAGCAAAACCCCGGGACAACCGGTAAACCACAAGTCGAACTTGAAACAAGAGTGCGAAAGCGACAGCTGGTAGCTGCACTTGGACGGGTCAGCTGCCTCTTGAAGATAAGTTGTTCCGCATTCAGGTGTCCACGTCTGATAGTAGAGCAACAGTAGCTGATTACGATGTGCGTCGAGTGGGTAACGGTCGGAACGCCAAAACAACTCGGAGTTTGAATATGTGAATTGTGTCGAGTTTCTGATGATTCTGATCTCGGCATTCGAAGCTATCATAGCGATGTAATCGTTTGCCTTGGATGATAACGGATTGACTCGGCAATGCCAGACGCCACATAGAAGCCGGTTCGTCGGCGCGGGCGGTTCATGGTGGTGCTCCTGAAGCGGATATATGATCGAGGACCTTAATTTTTGTGGCGTGTATAGCTCGATTTGTCGTTCTCCCTTCAAGCTGTTTTGCGTCGGAGTTACGGTTTCCAGTCACGGCGCTTCGCGTCACCGGCTGGCCAGCCACTGTCGATTAGTGCTTTTTATGAAGGCCTAAACACATCGTGCTCGGAAATGGCTTCACCATCCATGCCAGGGTGTTTCACTCCTTTTTGGTAGTGCCTTCAATGTCTTACCTGCGGCTCTGTATGGGACAGTGTAAAAAGGGGAATTTGGAAAGTCAACGTTCCCGCCTCCATGATCGGGCTAAATCTATCCGTACCTTTCACCGGAGGGTTTGAAATGCCTGTCTGGTCAACGTAAAAGCTCTCGAGCGAGAGATGAGCAATGATATTTCCTAACACACATGGGCACATGGTGTAGTTGGTTATCACGCCCGCTTAGCATTTCGCTGTCTGCGGGCGGTGCCCGGTTCAATTCCGGGTGTGTCCACAAAGTTTTGTTTTTGGAGCGACCAACTTCCTTCGGGAGTAGTAAATTCTATCAAGCCTCATTGCCAGAACCAAGTTTGTCCTTACAAGCCTGTAAAGCGTGTTGCTTAGAATTTTGTTCAGAGCGTGAGTGTTCGGCAACAAATGGGGTTGATGTAACGTGTTTTTGTGATCGAGGCAGTGAGCAAACCACGACGTGTCGGATTAGACGCTCTCCAAGTTTTCAATCTGCAGCGGCTGGCTCCATAGTAGAGCGCGGCACGACGACGAGCAGTCGAACAAGTATCCTTGCCTGGGGTCAGGACGCTCTCGACGCTAATAGGCGGAATGATACCACGAACGGTCTCATCTGTGCTGGGCGAACGCAAAAAGCGGATATCGTCCTTGTTGCCGGTCGATTCAATAGCCGCCAGCTCTTCTGCAGCTCACCGGTATCAGGCCGCAAGGAGCCCGTCACCACCTGCTTCAGCGTACTTCCCCTTGCTGTCTGCCGACGCTGGCGGGCGGCTACGGTCGATTCAAGACGCCGAAGCCCACTTTGCATACAGCACTACACTGCGTAGACATCCTTCGGAAGCTGCAGCCCTTACGTCGCCCACTCATATTGCACATGCGGTCAATGCCGAGGCACAAACTCTCTGGTCGAGGCTGGTTGGGTCCGTGACAGGCCGTCGGCCTGATTACGAGCCCCTAGTGGAGAACGGACGTGTTACACCACCTGCACGAGGGGATACACCAACGATAACTGCTTCTGCTCAATTTGCGCATACCTCTGTTCAAGTGCGTACTGATCCTCATGTTCGGATAATCCGTATGGAGCTCATTTTTCTCAAGGATACCATCGCACACTTTCGTACATCTGCGGACAACGGCCTCTTACAACGGGACATTCCGAATCTTCACGCTACACACGGATACAATGAATTCTCAGTATCAACTCCAGAACCCCTTCTATTGAAATTCGCAAAAACTATCTATGAAAGTCCTCTAATTCTCCTGCTTTGTGGAAGCGCGTCTGTCAGCGCGATCATGGGTAATATAGATGACGCAATTAGCATAACCGTAGCTGTTTTAATTGTATTAACGGGTAAGCAATGTTTTCGCATCTGGTTCTAGTGTCCTCTTGACGTGTTCCCAGTTGGATTCATTCAAGAACGACGTTCAGAAAAATCCCTAGAAGCACTCAACAAACTAGTCCCGCATCACTGTCACGTCATACGCGAAGGCGAAACCAAACACGTCCTCGCAAACGAGCTCGTCCCTGGTGATATCGTCACATTCTCTACGGGTGACCGTGTACCCGCCGACATACGTATTGTGTCTTCAATAGATTTAGAGATTGACGAAAGCAGCTTGACGGGAGAGACGGAAGCACGGAGAAAGGATGAGGAGACGTGTCAGTACGATGTTTCCCAGGGACGCGCAACGAGTGACCCTGTTGCACTCGCCGATCGGACGTGTATCGCGTATATGGGAACATTGGTAAGAAACGGTATGTCATCAGAATCAGAAGTACTTCTACGTTCGTTCATTCATGACTTTATCTATATCTCAGGCCGTGGTTCTGGAGTGGTTATAGCAACGGGAGCTGCGACTGAGTTTGGGGTAATCTTTTCCATGATGCAGGATGTATGTGGGAATACCAAGATTGGTTTGATGTGCCTTCTCATAGCAGTGTGATCCAGGTCGAGGAGAAGCGTACGCCGCTGCAGCTCAGTATGGACGAACTAGCGAAGAAGCTCTCCTTCATGTCATTCGGTGTCATTGGCATCATTTGTTTGATAGGGGTACTGCAGCGCCGGTCGTGGTTGGAGATGTTTACCATTGGAGGTATGTCTATATGTCTAGCTTGTATCTTTCCCTCATGGGTTATTGGATTGCTAGTCTCTTTGGCTGTCGCGGCTATTCCTGAAGGTTTACCGATAGTGACGACAGTTACTCTCGCGCTCGGTGTTTTGCGTATGGCGAAACGGAAAGCGATTGTTAAAAAGTTGCATTCTGTTGAAGCGCTTGGGTCAGTATCGGTCATATGTTCTGATAAAACAGGTGTGTTGTGTTTGCCTCGAACCGCTAGGAATCTGAATGATCATCAGGAACGCTGACGAAAAATGATCAGACGGTGACAGAGGCTTATACCGTCGACGAGACGATTGTTCTTGATCCCAACTCTGCGACATATGCAGCACCGATTTCTCCTGCGCTTAGGAAGACTCTTGACATTGGTTCAATTTGTAACAATGCCTCGCTGGTACGCAATGAGGACGGGCAGTTTGTCGGACAGTCAACAGATGTCGCTCTTCTCAATGTTTTGGGAGTATTTGGGCTTCCAGACCGCCGACAGGTACGGTTTTTCCTCTTACAATCTCAACAGCCCCGCAAAAACTTCCAATAGCATTTCGAACGCGTATACGAACGGCCGTTTAACTCGGAACAGAAATACATGGCCGTATCTGGGTACCACCGTGAAACTGCTGGAAATTCTCCCGTCGGCTCGCTTAGTGTCAATGGCGTGGGGAGGGAGATGTACTATATCAAAGGCACCATCGAAGCCATCCTCGATCGGTGCAAATTCTACTATGTCAACGACGAATCCACGCCAGCACTCGACACGAGCACGCGCAACGTGATACTCAACAAGGCGCATGCGACGGCCACACGGGGACTACGCGTGCTCGCTATGGCATATGGTTTTGTTGGCGTCGACGAGCGGCCGCCCTCACGGACGACCACCTCACGCGGGACATCGCCCACCTCGAGCGGGCCCCCGGAGAAATCCAATCTCGTCTTCGCGGGATTTCAAGCGATGCTCGACCCCCCACGGAAAGGCGTCGCGGACTCGATCGCGCTTCTGCAGAGCGGCGGAGTGCAGGTGGTGATGATCACGGGTGACTCTGAGCAGACTGCGTTGTCGATCGCGCAGAAGCTCGGGATGCGTGTTGGGCGTGGCGAGGCGGGGTCTTCGAGTTGTCTTACGGGAAAGGCGATTGATCAGATGACGAAGGCACAATTAAAGGAGAGGGTCGGGAGTGTTAGCGTCTTTGCGAGGACGACGCCGAGGCATAAGATGGCGATTGTTGAGGCGTTCCAGGCGAGAGGGCAGGTGGTGGCCATGACGGGTGATGGAGGTGCGTTACGGTGTTTTCCCCCTGTGCATGTGAAGTGCGAGGAGATTGACGTCTGATGTTGGACAGTCAACGATGCGCCCGCGCTGAAGATGGCTGATATTGGGGTGTCGATGGGTAAAAGCGGCACGGATGTCGCGAAGGAGGCTGCGGATGTGATTTTGGTCGATGATAACTTTAGCACTATCCTTCCTGCGGTTGAAGAAGGCGAGTACCGTCTCGGACGCATCTTGTTGTATGCTTGTATACTGATGGTTCTTTTGCTCCTCGGATAATAGGCAAATCGATCTTTCATAACATCCAAAACTTCCTGTCGTTCCAGTTAAGCACGGCTGCTGCCGCACTAACGCTGATTACGCTCAGCACGATGCTTGGACTCAGTAACCCCCTAAATGCCATGCAAATCCTCTTCATTAACATTCTCATGGATGGTGCGTTTCTCTTCTCTCTTCTCCGCGGCGAGTGCTTGGGCTTGTGAATTAAGCTCACTCGTATCCTAGGCCCTCCCAGTCAAAGTCTCGGCGTTGACCCTGTGGATCCAGCCATCATGAGGCGTCCACCACGCAAGAAGAATGCTCCGATTATTACGAGGCGGCTGCTTTTGCGTGTTCTGTTCTCTGCTTCAATAATTGTCGTTGGGACACTATTTGTTTACGTGTTCGCTCTCGACGATGACCATATGTCACGGCGGGAACAGACCATGGTGAGTGAGCACTTTTCTTTGTTTCTTTCTTTTGGCTTGCTTTGTCTGGAACTGGGTGTTATCCGTGATTCACGGTGCTCACAATGCAAATGTCAATACAAATCTCAGTCCTGAGTCATTCTTTATCATCTTCCCTGTCTATATGACTGGAACTGACAACTTCGTTCATTGTTCTAATCAGACATTTACATGCTTCGTCTTCCTGGACCTCGTGTCGGCAGTACAGAATCGCGGGCTCGGGTGCGGACTATTCCAGAATAAGATGCTGGTAGGCACAGTATCAATGTCCGCGCTGACGCAGCTCGCGCTCGTCTATGTACCATTCATGCAGCGGATATTCCAGACAGCGGCGCTGAGTCCGACTGATTTGTCTGTGATCTTATCACTTGCGGCACTGAGTCTCGTGTTACACGAAGGTCGGCGGTCTTATGAACGCAAGCTCAATGCAGAAGAGGCCTATGCAATTGTGATGGAGGAAATGGCGTAGCGATTTTTGGCAGGTATAATGATCAAAATGTGTTATTATATTTTTTTATATTTGTACAATCTGATACCACGGTGGAAGCGCCTAATTTCACGGAAAAACTTGTGCCCGTTTGGTGCATCACGCATACCATAAGCTGCTTATTTCCGCAGGTGACTTGCGTGTGATTAAACTGCTAGAAAAGTGGAGCCTCCCGAGGGTGAAGGTGACGGTACATAGGCCATTTGATCATGTCTACCATTCGGAGAAATGGGGACATAGCTATTACCATAACCGGGGCTGGAAATTACTTTGTGAAATGAAAAAGGATATTACAGCAACTGAAGAGTAGGATGGTGCCCTGGAATGCTTTGATGCCTAATATGACACGGCTGAGGGGCTGTCACAAGTGGCGAGGAGAGCCGGACAACCGTGTGTGCCGGTTGTGGGGACACATGACCTTCTTTTACGATCGAGGAGGTTAAACTTGGTACGATAACATGTGCTTGTATGAGGAAGCTGTGTATGTACGGGTTTGCCCTCCCACCATCAGAGAGAGACGTCTCTCTCTCGCCGCGGGCGACAGCTTGGGAAGCCTTCGTTACGCCCTGACAACCTTTGTGCTCCGCTTTGGCTCGATCTTGATCGGCTTCGACGACAGACGTACCTAGAGACCAGATCGACATTGGTCGGCTTGGGTAACATTTGTGGTT